TTTACATTAGGCCATCCTACGTGCTGGTTCCCATTTTCACTTACCCTTGGTGAGTCTGACATAGTGGAAAAATTGCAAATCTTCCTTTGGAAAGTAAGTTTATATGAGCCATGCAAACAGCAACTTGTAAACAGCACGTGGAAGAGGAGAAATGGGCTTGTGCATGCTCTCACTCACGTTTAATAGGCGTTCCCTCTCGTGAGCAGGTACAGTGTTGTGCATGTGCATTTTTTCTTTTAAAATGGAGAGGGTGGGTCTTTTCAGAAATTCATAAAAGTCCTCCACTATACCTTTAAATAAAACATAATACTACTATTTGTTATACCAACACTTTCACAGAATGTGTTGCCATACTATGTCGGTGCATTTTCAGACTTTTGGACAGACCTTAAATTATGACAGGGCTCACAATTTGGATACAACTCTGACACATTGGGTAGCAAAGGCATTTAAGGTTTTACTGATAAAGGTAAATTACTACCATGTGCATCTCCCGTCCGCTTAATTGAGAAAGATAGAGATGGGCTGTGTCTTTTGTGGAAATTCAAAAATATGTTGTTCTTCCTTAATTGCATGCCTTTCTAAAAATAGTTTATGTCTTTCTTCCAAAGCTGTCAGGTGAGCTTCAGCTTTCCTATATGCAAAGGCGCATAAACACTGGTGTAGTACAGGGTATATGGAGCATATACCCTTTTTTTCCAGTCAGCATTGCGTATACTCACTTTTAAACCCCTTAGATTCATGCCTTTCAGCAGTATCTGCTAGCCAAATTAAAAAGATCGGGTCATGCTGAGTTTAGTATTGCTAACCAATAGATTGACATTTACAACACTACCTTAAATGATTTGCCCTCACGACTTAAGATGAACTGGTAAAATTAAAGTTATTCAAACAACTTTTCAATTCCAAATGTCCTCACAAATCAACATTAGCCAGCAGCTCAGGTAGTGTTAGCAATGCTTCACCAGTGTAGTTAAGACCATTGACACCTACTCTATCCCCAGCTCATCAGTGTTAATTGAATTACTAGTGTGAATTTATAATTTTCTTTAATGGGAGGATAAGTAAACCTTCAAGCACAACTGTACATACTGTATATCTATATGTACCAGTGTTGTGCTAGTTACTGAAAAGCAGTACTGTAACTAGTTTCTGTTACTAGTTACCTCATTTCAAAAGTAACTTAGTTACTAACTCAGTTACTTACACCATAAGGTAATGCATTACTGTGAAAAGTAACTATTTAGTTACTTTTTTTTTTTAAAGGTTCACATTATGCCCTTATAGCCTTCATTTCAGAAATGCTATTGTACTGGAGAATAATACCATCTGTTGAAGAACTTGACATGCATTTGCATCATGAAACTCTGCTAAGCAATTCTATATACAAGCATCAAAGATATGTTTCAAAGTGCCAATTTATTTCAGGGCAGAACAAACTGACAATGCTACATAGTATGTAGTTGCCTGCAAAATTGCCCTTTAAAGCAGGTGGCCTGCTATAATTTGTTCCACCCTTGTAACTTTAAGAAACAAAGGTCAATCAACTCCAAAGTTTCAGGAATGAATTGTCATCATAAAAGATGCTTATAAGCCAAAAATGAAAAAGCTGGGACATTTTTTGTCTGATTTAGACAGGGGG